AAATCTCATCAGGGTATGTCCGGTGCGAAACTTATATTCAAGCAAGGACTTGTGTCCATGGAAATGGATCCAGTGGAAAACTCCGGCGCCACTGAATCCACCTCGAGGGCAAGCTAGACTCTTGCCAAATGGAGTCAACGTTTTCGCTAACGCGCTTCGCTTTCTCGCGGTACGGAGGCGGCACGAATGGAAGAGGATAATGGAGATTGAGCAAAATGCGAAGCGATAAACAGGTGATTGCGATGCTCCTCGACAAGAAATAGTCGAATCGATGTGAAACGTTGGTAAATGGAGGTAATTCTCGATAAACTAGCGATTAACGTGATACCAGAAACATGACTCTGCAACACTGTCTGTCATTGATAAGGAATTTGCTTTTCCAAAATTAAATAAAAATATTATTAATACGAATATGAAGCCTACAACAGTCTAGCTTGGATCTTAGTTGATTATATATAATTTCGCGTGAATTTATATACTAATATGTGTAGTCTTTCTAAACTGCACGCCGAACAATTGTCGGTCTTGAAACGCAATTGTAATAAACTACCGCAGTATTATCACGAATTAAATTGATTAACAATTTAATAATTAATTGATGTTCTTTTCGCATCTTATATATCGATGTTAAACTATATTAAAATCTGAAACTAATAATTCTTCTTATTGCAGAAAATGTTACTTAAAATATTACTTAAAAATATTATATTTCTTAATGCAATTGAAAAATATAATATTGTACGAATATACATAAATAATTTATAATTTTATTTAACGTAAAAATTTAATACAAAAAAAGATGGACTTTCTGATAACCTTTACAAAAAATATAATATATCTCTGAATATATAAAATTCCACTTGTAACTATAAAAACTTTTAATAAATCAATGAGTCGTCGAGCAAAAAATTCATTTCTTGAAATAATATATTTTAGCATAATGAATAGGTACTGTAAAAGAAATTACTTTATAGTATATTTTGCTGTGTTTATTCACAAAATGTTCATAGATTTATACTTTTCGATCACACGCATTAGTCGTTAATAGGTTCAAGTCACTATATACTATTAAAACCTGTTATGAGCTGAAAATTAATCGGTGAAAATTAATCTAATTTATAATTCATGATTTGCTGAGAAAATATATGCAATAGAATTAAAATAAATAATAGCAATATAATATGCAACAGAATTACTCGCCCTCGATAATATAATATATTATATAGTTTTAATATTCCAAATATTAAATAAGAAATGGAAATTCACGTTTGCAGCATAAAGTGAAAGAAAGTAAAGTTTTTAATTTAATTTGCGTTTTTCTCTCTTTCATATTGTATATTTAATAGTAATAAGTTTTCCAGATGCAAGTTGTCCGACATACGATTAACGGTATTCATAACGGACTACGAAATAATTTGGTCACTTGAAAGAGGTCAGCGCAACCTATCCATTGACGTCTTCATGTTAGAATATTCACCAAATCGTTCGTCTGCCAATACATTCGAATAAACTGTGCTAAAGAAAAATAGTGAATTTCATTGTAGGCTGTTTCATTGATACGACGTGTAAGGATAAATCGAAGTTCATTTATCTGAGAAAAGGATATGGACACTCGATCAAGAGAAGTTTTCCAGTCTCGCGCGCTGTTAAATTGATTGAGTTGCGAACTCGATAGTTTCATTAACAAGGACTTTGCGCGAGATCGGTAATGAATCCCGTCAGCGAATAGATCGATATTATACGTTACGTTGCGTTTATCGTTCGAAACTAAGCGGTAATATGCCGTATTAAATATTATGAATTGGAATATGATTATCATAACATACACATTCGTATATGATATTATCTTTCGCATGAAATATTATAGCGACGTTATGGAAACGTTAACTATGTCGAAATGTTAATTTGTCTATATATCCAAAAATATTTGACAAAGTATTATAATATAATAATTATATTCTAAAGTAAAAAATGTCTTTTATAAGTTTACAGAAAGATTACAGTATGCTGCAAACCACGTTTAAAGAAGCATTAATCCACTGTTCAGTATTACTATACATTATTAATATCATTTTAGAGGATCAAGTATTAATGTACGTCATAAGAGCAGCAAAAAAAAAGTAGAAGAACGAGGTTCTATTCTTTGCTTGAGGTAGGAAAGTCAGTTAATAAAGCAAGAGGCATCGCAATAACGAGCATGTTGGAAAAATATAGTTAATTGGTTTAATTGAGGTCGTATGTTCGTGACGTGAGTCTCTGACGAGCTATCGATCACATTATCTTTTCTTCAAATTGCGTTAAGGATAATTGAGAAGTAAAATTAATCTTTTATTCATGTTAACATTATTTTGTTAATCGTAATCATATTCCAATTATTTTTAGAGACTGTCCTATCAGTTGGCACGATGGTACCATTATATCAATAACCTTTGATATTTTAAGAGACAAATTATGCTATAAACTTATGTAATCAGTAAATATTTGCTTACAAACATCCTTTCAATCGAAGGTTCTTTAATCAATTATAAGGAATGTTACGTATATGATAAACATTATCCAAGAGGTGACGTAAGATAAAATCTTTATCCGTTCAGCAATACACTATAAAATGTAATCGATACGTTAAAATAACTGTTTTAATTATAAACTGAATATTTCGCGCTTAATTCAAATACTCATTTAAAAAACATATTTGCATCAAAATCGTGTTCCATTGTACGCAACATATAGACAGATAAATTTAATTATATAAGAAGGATAAAAGCTTACTACATATTTTAATTGCATTATTTATTTATATCAGATTTTTATTGCTTCCTGAATCGAAAACGATTTGATCGATCGATAGTTTAGAGTAGACTGTCACATTGAGATATACAAGCAGTTAATCGTGTAGAGGAAATCGCGAGACGCATATCGTACCAAATGCAGGCAGCTCTCGTGCCAAATCCGATTTGGAGTACAATCGACGTGGCTAAAGAAAGTTCAAGAGGTAGGTTATCGGCGAGAGTAATCGCACCAAATATTGACAAATCACTTTTAAACCAGATTATCTTGCCAGTTTTAGGTGTCCATTACATTTTTTAAATAAAAAAAGATTTTTTTTTTTTTATAAAGGGAAAAATATTTTTGTTAAATGCATATCTTTTATTTTAAAAACGTTTTATTTTAAACGTTCGTGCATCATAAAAATTGTGCGATACGTGTTTTATATAATTCCATCCTAATAAGTTTGTACATTACACGTATGATGAGATTGACTGTTGGACTAAGGAACAAAGCACAATGTGTTTTCAATTATCTGCATTTTAATCCATCTATATTCTGCGCGAGTATTATTTCAGGACTATTACGTTGACTATACATTTCTATGTGAAAGCAAGGATTTCAAAGTAACCGAGAGAACAGAGTTTATGTTCTTTCCATTATATGTTAAAAAGTTACTTTCGAACGACGAGAGTCCCACTTGGAACGGTATACTCGTCATCTTCGTATCCTCCAATAACGTACGTCCACGTTGGAAATTTCAACCGGAGTCACACTATCTCTCTTTATCTCGTTTCCCTTCTCTTTGCACAACAGTTGATGTCATCAGCGAATATGCTATTTTTTATAATGCTTTCATCCTAATTTAGAATACTTTTGAGTTTTTTTTTAAATTAACTTTCTGCTCATACCTTTCTATTCACGCTCTAGTAGAATTAAAGTGAAAATATTTTTAATTAGATCTAAAGGAATTTCTTATATATTTCATCTTAAATAAGTCCACAATTAATTATCTATTTTTCATTTATTGAATTTATTATATAGAAAAATAATAACAATACTTATTGAATCGATTATTATTATCGAATAGATTTCTATTATCTAAGAGTTACTTAAAATATTTTAAGATTTATTTATAACATTTCTTTAAAACTTTATAATTTTTCAAAATAAAACGGTTGCTGTTAAATTTAAAAAGAAATCGAATAATAAAGAACAGCTTTATTTATTATTTAATCTTCTCTAATAATTCTTCTAACTCTATTTTGTACGCAAAAGTGCTATTTTAAGTGCGATTTAACTTTATAAACCATTTGTCGGAAAAATAAAAAAAAAAATAGTAAAATATTTTATGAAATATTGAAAGTTATAATTGTAAGTTGTTATAATTTGATTACTTTCATTATATTTATAGTCTTTGACTACTTTGACTACTTTTTTTATTTACAGTTGTTATTCGACTACTTTTGGTAATCATCTACTTATAACATGTTCTTATTATTCACTCAATCTAATTTTCTTTGCTAATTTTCATTATTTCTAATTTCATCATAACATCTAATTTCTTTTTACTTTTATATAACATAAGTACAATTTATTTCACAATTGCTAAACAATTTAATTCGACAGTTTCGCATTTTTCCTCGCAATCAATACTTTTATAAATATTTTTGTCAATTAAGCACTAGATTAGCAATTAAAGTACTAATTGTAATTTGTGAATCTATTGTATTACATTGTGGATAAACTTATCATAACTTTCGTAAGTAGAATTAATCTGTCTTTTTTTTCACAGTAACGTTCATGACATCTCAACTGCTCCTTTCCATCTTTCCTTCAATTCACTCGTGCCCTACTTTAACTATTGTCGCGATAAACTTTGTTTCATTTAAATTCTAGAAATTTGTTTCATTTAGAAACTAACTACGAATAATTTACCAAAGGCAAAATGTAAAATTTGAGAATATTACGTAGAGAATATTACACTGTACCAACACTAAAGGAATTTATTATATCTATCTAAAGATATTATATTCTTACTGCGTGACGTCATTATTGCGTTCTCGGATTGTAGTTCACGGTTCTTTACTGACTGTTATATAGCTATTCGCTTAATAAGCAAAATGTCATAATCGCTTGACCTCTTCCACACAATCATCAATCTATTCAGTTTCAACATTCAATCTATTTACATTCTCTAGTATTCGTCCGATCTTTCGTGTATCGTCACTGACCTTGAGTCGAATTTGCTGCCGTCCTGGAGCGTGCCGGTATAGTGCATGGTCAGCTGGTCGCCCTTCTTCGATTTGACGTCGCATACTTCGGGCATGTACAGCTTCTCCACCTTTAGACCGCTTTCAGCATTGTCGGCCCTGCTGAGAGCCACAATTGTTACCACGAAGAAGAGAGCGTAACGACACATCGCAAGCACGACACTCACGCTGTTCGACGTATAAGAGACCATGTTCATCAGTCGACGGATGCTCGTGAGCAACTGAGTTCTCGGAGCGTTCTACACCAGCGAGCCACCTTCCTGATCCCCGCTCGTCCCACCGCCGCCGTCCCAGAGCGACGGCGCCGTGGTCAGGACGGAGACCAGAGCAACGGGGGCCAGAAAAGGACGGAGCGTCCATGCCGCCACATTGCGCCGTCTCATTGGCCCCATGGAATATGTAGGTCTCTATACCTCGGGAAAGTCCTTTTCTCTCTCTGCTGCCTCTCGGTACCGCTCGCGATTTCTCGCTCAGCCCTACTCGGTCGTCTCTCCTCAGCTGCCTGCTCCACAGCTCTGTCTTTTTCATGGTTGTATCCCGGAGTTGCGCGTCTTGCTCCGACCTGATTCTCTTCCTGCTTTCTCTCTCGCCGCCACGTTGCACCGCTTCATCCTTACCGCGCTTACATACCGATATCTTCATCCTTCTTCCGCTGGTGGCATATCACGGTGTCTGTGGCTTGCTCCGAGTTCGCTGTACCTTTCTCACTCGCCTATCAGGTCAGGTGCTCCCTTCCATCCCTTTAGTTCCATCTTCCGCACCTCTTCGCATCATTGCATCTCGCCCTTTTTCCTTTCTCTCCCTTCTCCTTCGTCCGTTCCCTCTTTTCCTCATGGTTACCGATATAAAAAACACGAGTCGACTTGCGCTCTGATTTTGACGAGACTTCGCAGGTGCATCGTATACGAATGCAAGTTCAAGAAAATGTATCGTTCTTACAAACCAAATTAAGGAATAAATTTTATTCGGAAGAAATGTTATTTTACTGACACAACGTGGAGCTCGTTTATTAGAAACACAATGGAAACTTCGTTGAAGTTCGCTCTATTGGGCAAACCATTTTATTCCCGAAGTAAGCTATATAAATAAAGAAATATTTTTACATCCATAGCAAAATATTTTACATAAGTTAGTTGCGCAATACGATAACTAAAAATTTTATATTCACAAAAAATATAATATTCAGTCATATTGTATTGAACTCATCTAACAATTAAAACTTAAATTAAAGGAGCTATTTTTATCAAAATACAGTTGACCAATGCGAAAAGGAAACTTAGAAATATGAGTGCAATTCAACAACGATAAAGGATAGATATGTGAAAAATGCATTTGATTCTGATCCCTTAGGATTTCATTCGATTTTGTTCACTTCGTCAAGCGGAGTTATCCTCGATTTTTCCGGTTCCTCCTTTGGTTTATTCTCTTCGTACTTCTTCAACACACAATCCTTGCTTTTCACATATCGTCCCACGTATCCATCTATCGCTCTTTAATTTCGTTCACCGTTTCTCGACCGCTGCACCTCGTGTTACATGTCATCCTGATCTCGTCGTTTATCACTGATGTCATCGCGCTACCGCTGTGAGGCGCATCCAAGCGTTGCAATGCGTTTCCTTCCTACGCGGAGGAGGATTCCGTGGTCGTTTCGCGAAACGTATGGATGTCGCACTGATCAAACCGGATGGCCATTATATTTTCTTTTTTTTTTTTTTTTAAGTTTCGGTTGAAATGGCTCGCTCGAAGTTGGAATATTAAACTATGAGTTTTTAATCAGTTGCGGTCACCTGTTTGAAAAATCCACTCACCCATGTGCTAACAGAATTCATCTTTCAATGAATTATTTATGGTATATTTTATGTATCGGTATGTAAATGCGACTGGTCGAGATATGTACATCGAATTCGCTAACTGCTATAGCGGAATTTCCGGATAGCATTTGAATAGCGATACTCAATCGATTAAGGTTCACATTCGACTAAAATGGAATTTTACGAAGTAAAATTTATGCGTGTATGATATATGTACGTATATAGGTATAAATACAGAAATAAAATGATGAAAATGAAATAATAATCACGTTATCAGATTATACATGCTATCGTTAGAATGGAGAACGCATTCAAATCAATTATATATTTCATAAATTTCAAATTAATTGATTTATTAATTCATAGTTACGTTAAAATTACAATTAAATGTAATTTGCTATTTATAATAATTATATGTATATTAACTTTTATAATTATTAGATATACATAATATATAAATATTTATTTTGCCATAAGGTACATACATATATTTTATGCGTATGTGATATCTGTGCGCACGATATAAGACATATTAAATAAATAGCACAAATTATATTTAAAAAAAATATTTCTAGCAATTGCAGAAATTGTTAATTTTATTTAATCGTCATAATATTATACACGCTAAATTTAATAACTTTTTTATTTAAAGCCGCTTGAGACTTATATACATTTGCCATTTTATATTTTGTTATTTTAAATTCTTTCTGTTCAGAGGTCACTAAATTTATATATTTTAACATCATAGATTCTTGCGTACAAATTTTAATTTAAAAAAATAATTGACCTTTGCTCTCTAAACTTTACCATTTTAATCAAGATTTTTCCGTAACCATTTTATTTCTAAAAAAAAATACTACAAGATTCACAATTTCTGTGCCACAGAGATCAATATAAAATTTCGGCACCTATCTTCTCTTTGCACGTTTTGCCTGTTTCCATTCTATTCTTATATATATGGCTATGATATGAAGTATATTTTATAACTAATACATGTGGCATATTACAAGTACGCAGTACATGTAACATTCTTACACAACTTTCATATGAGTATGAAAGAGTACAAGCGCCCTTCAAATGCGCTTCGTATATAATATTATTTTATCAAACTTAAATTTTAAAAGAAGACAAATAAAATATGTATTTTAATAACAATAGTAATTTTGTCAAAGATATTGAGCAATTATATAATCTTAATTTCCTAAAAAGCCATAAAAATGCATCTTTTAAAATTTAAGAGCTATTTATCGTTACGTTGTAATATGTTTTGGAAATAAGATAATGTTAGCTGCAAAAATATATTTGCCTTTTTTTATAGTTTAACGGAAGATAAGCAAACTCGTATGTTCGTTTCATTACGACGAGTATGCAGTGATGTACAGCGAAAAGCGAAAAGTCAAGAGCCCTGTGTGCACATTCATTACACATCAAGCGAAATGGACCACTCACGACAAACCATTTGCATCTTAAAAAATGCTCACAAAATCGTAGTGAACTCTTTGACTTTGTCCTTATCATGACGCAATAGCGTTCAAATTACACTTCTTTCAATTACACTTCTCTTCACACATACCAATTATAAGATTTATAATATTGATTTATGCTTGGTTTGAACAAAAAATTAAAATAATATATTATTTGCATGAATCATATTATTGTGTAATATACATTTGGTGATAATTAAAACGTACGAGAAATTCTTGGAAAAATTGGTTACATAGTCCTAACTTTAGTTTTAAAAAACGTCAGAAAATGTTTTATCATTTTATCTTCTTTTATGCAAAAGATAAAAAATGATACGTTTTCTCTTTAAGAAATAAAAGACAATAATATTTTTAAAATGGAGGTCATGTATAAATATTTTAAAATAATTAATATGAAAACTTATAAAATGTTAAAATATTTTTTTGCCGTTGAAATTGAAATAACAAGTACGTAATTAACTTTAATGTATATATATATATATATTATGTATATACTTGACAAAGAACAACTATTTCTTGAAATCAATAGACCCATGCGCAAATGCGGTAGGAAGTTCCAACAGCTCGTATAACGACGCTCCCAACTAATCCTCGCTCCGGCTGCTTAACGCATGGAAATTAATAATGAGACAGAATGGAAATCCTAGAGCGATAAGCCCTGGATCTACATAACTCCGTGTGGATTATGCAGCGATGTACAGCCACCAACCCGTATTGAACGAACGATCGAGGAACAAACATAAAATCGGTTCATTTAATCCACGATCGCAGCAGCTGTCTAGCCACCGAAATAATTACAGATAAAGTTTTATGGTACACCGCATTGTTTAAAGGTTTTCTTAATATTTTAACGCGTACAAGCAATTTTTTTTATCTAACTCTTGAAGATGAATAACCCTAGAAAACCACACATAATTCTTTATAGAATAGATCTTTGATTAACAATAATATAAAATTAAAATTCATTTTATTGAAATTTTTTACTTACAGCTATAAAATTCCTTTTTACTAGATGTGTAATATGTTTATTAAATACAATATGATACAATGTTATCCTACTATGTATATCCATATTTTTCCTTTTGTTTTATTTAAAACGATTTATGATACGTATAGTAAAAGGATATTATATTATAAACTCTATTTAAAAAATTTTTATAATATTTGTGCTATTAAAATTATTATAAGAAACTAATAGTTAATTTTTTATTTTCTAGTAATAATTGATTATTAATAAAAGCTTAATTTTTATTGTGTCTGTACAAGATATTGGAAATATATACTATAATACATAAATAGTCATATAAAATATATTGCAATCAAACAATTACTCATTTTAGATATCAAACATTTTTTTTGCATCCTATTGAATGATTGTGATATTCTTGTGAGATTTTATAGTTACAGAAGTACTCGTACTTCTTCGATTTTAACAAAATTGTCGAGATCTCACTCCATTCGTATATTTCATTAACTAATACAACAATTCGGAATTTAGTACCTATGCATATTTTTTTTATAAGTGCACAATTTCTCGCGTGGTTATTTAAGCAGTTTATTTTCGTACATGTGCAATCATCAACGAATAGTAATTGCTTGCAGGCTATCGTACCTAGTTACTTGAGAACCGAAATGTAGTTTAAACAACCCGTAACATGGTACGAATTCGCAGCCCAAAGTCTTCGCATTCGTGTCACGTCGATGTTGTCGCGCGATAGTACAGTCGGCAATGCGATTTACTTCGGAATCGGTTGTCGAAACTCTCGAGAGAATCACAAAATGATTTTTTCTTTATACGCCAGTATTTCCAAATTTAATATTTTTTCTAATACGGGTAGCATAACAAAATAATATTCAAGGAAACAATATGATAGCTCAATTTTCAACAATTTATTTCATACGTTGAGATTTTA